CCTCCTCTGTTGCTCTGATGGGCGTCCTTAGGCAGGCCTGTTAGCCCCCCGGGACTCCTGTCTCACTAGCCCCAAGCCAGACCAGGCCTTGGATGCCTTCTACCTGTGCTGTGCCCCACCATCTGTGTCCCAGGGGACACCAGCCACCGTGAGCCTCCCCGCTGCAGCCTTCTGCTCACCACTGTCGCTCGGACCCTCCCCTGCTCTTAGAGGATTAACCAGCCTTCAAGTTTCCAAGAGGCTCTTGTGCCCATTTTACAGATAAGGAAGCCGAGACCCTGAGGGGTCAGGTGACGTGTCCAGGGTCCCACACCAAGTCATTCAATGATTCTTTCACAAGGTTGTTTACAGGAACCTAGTAGAATGGAGAAACTAGTGAGGCAATGCGTGCAGCAATAGTGGGAGGCCTGGGTTCCTTGTGTGGGTGGGCAGAGCCTCCTGCTGGGCCTTGGAGGAGGACACTGACTGCCATCCCCAGAGGTAGCCTAGCCCTCAGGCCTGGGTGTGGGAGAGGTGATGCTGAGCTGGGAAACAGGGCCTGTCTTAGGCTTCTAGTGTCATTGGCCAAGTCCCCTCCCTCCCTTTCTCTTCACTCCACTCCTTCCCTCCCCCCCCCCTCCCCTCCCCCGCCTTTGTTTCTTGGCCTCCACAGCCTCTTTCCCTCCCTCCCTCCCCCTTCCTTCCCTGTCTGTTCATTCCTTCTCTCTCTCTCTCTGCCTCTCTGCTGTGGCTTCCCTTCCCCCACTCCCAGCTCCCAGCACAAGTCTTTAAACTACAGTCAGGCAGCTACTCCGTTTCCTCTATTTCCTTGCCTCTTACATTTACTTTCTCTCCACTCTGGGGACCAAGGGGCCCTGGTGGGATGGAAGCTGCACCTTCTGCTGATGGACACCCTTATCACACTGGCCGCCAGGTGGGGGAGCCCAGGGCACCAGAAGCCTGAGCTGCCTGTTCTCTTGAACACTGGAGAGCTTTTGTTCTGCGCCCTCGGCACAGCCACTGGGGAGAGGCCCTGCCCTGAGGAGGTGCCGCCTGCGGCCAATGACAAGAGGGGCGTGAGGGGAATGGCGTTGGGCAGCCCTGGCACAGGTGGTACACACCTGGCAGGTCCTTCTCCTGCTCTGGGCAGCCCCAGGGTTGTAGCCTGTGAGAATGAAGGTGGGGGTGGGGGTGGGGTGGACCAGAAAGATGGCTCAGGAGGAGGAGGAATAACACTACCAGGTTACAGAGCCCCCAGCTTCCCACTACTCACACATGCATGGGAAATGCAGGTAAATTAGATTCCCATGGTCGTTGTCTTTCTGTCTGCCTCTGTCTCAATATACACACACACAGCCCACCGGGCTGTCCCAGAAGCACGTTCTGCAGTAAACAGGGCAAATGGACAGATGGATACAGAGACCAGCCCAGGCCTCATAAGTCCTATTAAACGTGCACTTACCGGGCCGTGTGTGTCGTGGTTGGGCAAGTATCCGTCCACTAGGAAGGAAAACGGGCCCGACAGGCCAGGCAGGTCAGTGAAGGCTTCCAGGAAGAGGTCTGAGTGGACACCAAGGAGACGCCTCAGTCCCTTGGGTCTGCCTGCAGCCCTGACCAGCCAGCCAGGAGCCGGCCTGAAGCTTCACGCTAGAGTTGCCCAGGGTTTGCTCATGTGTTCCCACTGGCTCCCTGTAACCTCGAGGCCGGCAGGGTAGCCCCTGGGAGCTGAGGTGTAACACAGCTTCCAGGCTGTATAGCCCGGAGGAACAGAGATGGAGATATGGAGCTCAGACGGGGCTGACTATGGGGCTAGACAGACCTGAGCCAGCCAGAACCCAGTTCTGCCCCTGATTAACTGGGCAATCTTGAACACATTCCTCGGCCCTGAAAGCACCCCACCCCCACAGGTTTGTCTTTAGGATTACGTAAATGGCTCACGTGGGCCCTGCTGAGCGCGCTCACTAATCAGACGCTTAACTGTTCCACTTGTTTGTGCTGCATTGTCAGCACCTGGTGCCCCCTCCTTGGGCACAAACTCCTCAAGAGTGAGGACTCTGGGTCATCCCCTTTTACACCAGCACAGGCCCCTGTCACTGAAGCTACCTTCTGCGTTCCTCAGCCCCAAAGCCAAACCACCCACTGCTACAGGAAGGTGCCTTTCTGGCTGCTTTGCCCGAGGTAGGGGGATAGGCTGGGTTTGCACCAGGGGTCCGGAGCAATCATTAGGAGTGGCCGCTTTTACTCCTGGAGGGTCCGGTTTGGACAGTAAATTACATGGTTACCCTCCCTGCAGGGAACCATACCGGACCTGCTCTCCAGTTCACAGGGGGTGTGCTGACTTTTCCGCCATCTCATCTCCCTCTAGAGCAGGTTTAACTGTTTCTGTGCTCCTGGAATTGGGGCTGAGGAGGAGAAGGGGCAGGGGTGTGAGCCCACATTCACCCTGCATTGATGATGTGCAGGCCCCAACATCCTTGCCACATCTTATCAACACTCTGTGAGTCAGGCATCGCTCCCCTGTCTGTACAGATGAGGAGACTGAAGCTCGGGACATGTGAGACTTTCCCAAGGTCACACAGCTGGTAAATAGCAAAGTCTGGATTTGCACTCAGAATCCAGCACCAGGACCTTGCACGGGATTTGCTAGTGATGATCACCTCCTCCTCCTTGCTGGCCCTGCTTTGGTGGAAGTCTAGAAAATGCTGAGCACAGTGTTTGCTCAAACCCACAGCAAACACGTGGGCTGCTGCCAGGTGCTGCGTCAGAGGCAGGCCGCCATGACTGGAGGCAGTGACTTCCGCAAGGGGTGACTGGGCTTGCTCAGAAAATCCAGCAGTGGCTGGTGGACACAGGGTAAGGGTGGCTGTGGTGGGCCCCGTGAGAGCAGGGACCTTGTCTCATTCACCTTGCTATCCCCAAGCACAGGGCCTGACCCATCACAGGCACTTATTAACAAATATTTGCTGCATGAATGAATGAATGAGTTCTTAGTCCCTAGTGATTGTCCTCAGTCATTGAAGCTTTTGGAGAATCTGAGACCCCAGAGTGCAGACATCTCTCAGCTCTGTAACTTTCATCAGAAAAGGCTTCCTCCAAAGATCTAGGCAGACCAGTAACAGTGATTCTTTATATTTGGTTAGGGCTATGAAAGTGACAAAGCCCCTTCACCTGTGTTATGGCCTCTAGGCTCTCAACAACCGTTCTGGGGGTAGTTGTTTTCATCTCCATTTTATAGATGGGGAAACTGAGGCTCAGAAGTGTCTTTGAAGCGACTTTGCTTAGTCACACAGCTAGTAAGTGACAGAACTGGGATTTGAAGCCAGGCTGCCGAGTTCTTAGTTAAGCTGCAGATTCTGAAGCAGATTTAGACCCTCTGGTCTGTTCCAGATGGACCCTGAACCCCATGTCAAAGGTTTCCTTCGAGAGCCCTACTTTAAAGTTAGTAGTATAATCTTTAGTGTCTGTTTCAAGGAAGCTAATTCCTGTCTGGGGTATTTTTAGCTGGCCTCAGGAAGGGGGAGCTGCCCTGGGCGGTGGGGGAGGAGGGCACCAGGCAGAGGGAGTGGGTTTCCTGAGGAAGGCCACGAAGCCTTGCTCCCAGAGGCTGCCCTGACCCGGGAGAGAAGCCGTGGCAGCACAGGAGGCGTCACCCTAGGAGTAATGCCTTTCCCCACTTTGTGGAGTGCCTCTGTGCCAGGCGCAGAGCCAGGGGTGGGTCTGGTCATGACTATCTGAGGCCCAGGCTGGTCACACTGCTTGGTGGGAGGAAGTCTGTAGTCGTGGGGAAGCCGGGAGACAAGTGACAACAGGCCGGGGGGCTGGAAAGCCCTGCAGACAGGTAGACTTGAGGGAGGCCTAGGAGGCTGGGGAGAGGGTGCCCCAGGTGGAAGAACCCATGTACAGAAAGGCTCGGGTGCACAGAGTGCTCAGGAGAGTGGTGCGTGTATTCATGCAGCTGGAGCCCATAGCCAGGGAAATGCCGCTGTGCCTGGGGGTTTGGACCTGGACGAGTGTTTTTAGAAGAGCTTCCAGTCTACCCAGAGGTCCCTTGGAAGAAAGGCCTGGCAATCTACTTCCAAAAAATCAGACACTGCAAACCTTATGGAACACAGTTCTACTCTGACACACCTGGGGTCGCCATTAGTTGGAGTGGACTGAACGGCAACAGATTTTGGTTTGGTTAAATCAGAGGCCGTGGAGGTGAAGCTGGGGGTCAGTTTTAGCATTCCTTTTGGACAGTTGTCTCAAATAGTTTAGCAGTCACAAACGCCCTTCTTTCAAATAAGATCTTACATGGAACTCCAATGTATACATTAATAAAAGCTGTATTTTTTAATTTATGGGTGTAAATTTACATATTTAAATGGATAATCAAGAAGCACAATAACGTGTTGTGATGGACACAGACATTTCGCTTCAGGGCTGATGCGTGGTAGCCGCCATTTGAGATCAGCCTCAGCACCTAATTTATTTTTTTATGTTGCCTTGTTTTTATGCCCCAATATATATATTAAAAAAAAAGCGTTCGTAGAGCCAAGGCTTGGAAGTGGTGACAGTTGTCCAACACCTCGCCGTACAGTCTCAAGGCCTGTGCAAAACGAATTACCTTGGCAGCAAAGGCGGGGGGCTATCCAGTGTATTGGGATGTGGTATATATTTGGGTAGGTCAGTTTTTTATATAGTAGAATATGTTTTGCAATTTTGAATCAAATTTTCGAGGAACCCCAGAAGGGCCCAACGAGCACAGTTTGAGAACCACTGAAGAAGTCCACTCCTGTTTTCCATATGAGGGGACTGAAGCTGGCAAGGGGCAGGGCTTACCCAGGATCCCAGAGGGAGAGGGGAGAGATGGTCAGATACACAGAGGGTATCATTGCTCCTTGTAATTACAAGTGTGGCCTGTTCCCAAAGCAGAAGTAGGAAGACGTCAGGCCCAGGCCCACCCATGTGTGTCTGTCTGTAGTCTGTCTGTGCAGCATTGAGCCGGCAGTATTAACGTCACCTTTTCCTCCCGCAGTAATGCCCTCCTAGCCAGCCGCCGCGGGATGGAGGGCTTCATGGACTCAGGGACACAGACAGACGCCGTGGTGGTGCTGTCCTTGGCTCAGGCCGCTGTGCTGGGCCTGGTCTCAGAAAATGAGCTCTTTGGAGCCACCATAAGCGCTGAGGCCTTCTACCCGGACCTGGGGCCCGAGCTATCCGGGGCGGCCATGGGGGAGCCTGGGCCGCCAGGCCCCGATGTCTACCAGCTGGCCTGCAATGGGCAGGCCCTGGAGGAGCCAGTGGAGGAGGAGGTCCTGGAGGTGGAGGCGGCCTTTGAGAAGCACACCCGGCGGAAGACACGGCCCCCCGTGCGGCTGGTACCCAAGGTCAAGTTTGAGAAGGTGGAGGAGGAGGAGGAGCAGGAGGTATACGAGGTATCCGTGCCTGGTGATGATAAGGAGGCAGACCCAGCAGAGGCCCCCGCCCAGGTGGCCAGTGGTGTCTGCGAGGGCCTGGTGCAGAGCAGTGCCGTCAAGATGATCGACCTCAGCGCCTTCAGCCGCAAGCCCCGGACGCTCCGGCACCTACCCCGAACCCCACGGCCAGAGCTGGACGTGGCCCCCTATGACCCTAACTTTCCCGACCCAGCCCGGGATGGCTACACCGAGCCCAGCATGGCACTACCTGGGGCCGAGGCTGTGCCCACCAAGTGTGGTTTTGAGCCACCCCACCTGGCCCCCCAGAGTGACCCTGAGGCCCCCACCATGGAGTCCCCAGAGCCAGTGAAGCCAGAGCAGGGCTTCGTGTGGCAGGAGGCAGGCGAGTTCGAGACAGACGCGGCGGGCTCGACAGTGGAGCGCCACAAGAAGGCCCAGCTGGATCGCCTGGACATCAACGTGCAGATCGACGACTCCTACCTGGTGGAGGCGGGTGACCGCCAGAAGCGTTGGCAGTGCCGCATGTGCGAGAAGTCCTACACGTCCAAGTACAATCTGGTGACGCACATCCTGGGCCACAACGGCATCAAGCCACACTCGTGCCCGCACTGCAGCAAGCTCTTCAAGCAGCCTAGCCACCTGCAGACACACCTGCTGACCCATCAGGGCACACGACCCCACAAGTGCCAGGTGTGCCACAAGGCCTTCACGCAGACCAGCCACCTCAAGCGCCACATGCTGCTGCACTCGGAGGTCAAGCCCTACAGCTGCCACTTCTGCAGCCGTGGCTTCGCCTACCCCAGCGAGCTCAAGGCCCACGAAGTGAAGCACGAGAGCGGCCGCTGCCACGTCTGCGTCGAGTGCGGCCTGGACTTCTCCACCCTGACCCAGCTCAAGCGCCACCTAGCCTCCCACCAGGGCCCCACCCTCTACCAGTGCCTCGAGTGTGACAAGTCCTTCCACTACCGCAGCCAGCTGCAGAACCACATGCTCAAGCACCAGAACGTGCGGCCCTTCGTGTGCACAGAGTGTGGCATGGAGTTCAGCCAGATCCACCACCTCAAGCAACACTCGCTCACCCACAAGGTAAGGCTGCCTGCCCTACACTGTTGCCCGCCCCCCAGGCCTTTGCTCAGTTCCCTCGCCTCCTGCTTCGTCTCATCCTGTGCTTCCCAAAGGGTGGTCCCTGGGGTAATGTAGGTGGTACACAAAGGAACACTTCCTATTTTTATTTATTTGGATGAGTATTAGAAAAAATATATAATTGAAATTACCTTTTAAGATAGTAAAACCTTATGTATTTAACCATGTTTTTAATAAAGTGTTTGGGAACGCCTCCAGGAACAAAGTTTGAGAATCACTGAATTAGCCTAACCTCCCTGTTTTATAGGCAGGAAGACTGAGGCCAGAGAGAGGCCAGGATCCCACAGGGAGGTGAACGAGAAGTCAGAGGTATAGAGGGCTCCCTTTGCTCCTCATAATTACAAAAGTATATTGAAACCTGGGACTTCACAGATATTACCCTTTAGGAAAAGGGTAAATACATTTAATTTTTGAAAGGGAGTAGATGTAAGGAAAATTATTTGTTATGGAAAGGCACAAGTGGTTCTAGAATATAGCTAAACTAGACAAAGGGGTTTGTGAAGATGGAAGATTGAGCAACACTGTTCTGATCCACTATGTTCCTGAACCCAACCGTGACCCCTAGACCCGTTCTCCCCTGCCTGTCTCTCCCTCCCTTCAGGCCACTAGCCACCCTGCCTTCCAGCCAGCATCACCTCCTCAAGAGGCCCCTGCATCCAGGCAGGTGGACTGAGGCCTCTCGGGCCTCACAGATCTACTCTGGCACTTGGCTGCCCCATGGTTTCCACCCCAAATCCAGGGCTTTGAACCGGTTCCAGTCAGAATCTACAGTTTAACGAGATTGCCAGTTGATTCTTATGTATAATAAATTTTGAGACCCACTGCTGTGCTAGTGGTTTTCAGAATTGGTCCCTAATCAGCAGCATTAGCATCACCTGGGAACTTGTTAGACATGCACATTCTCAGCAGGGTTTCGAACCAGAAGGAACTGGTTCAAAGCCTTGCCCAAATCCAGCCAAGTTAATTCTTCAAAGCTGAATGTGTATCTTTGTCTCTTAGCAATGCTCAGTGGGGAACTTAGTGATGCTCCAGGTCACACTTGGGTCCTCTCTCGCAGTGGACACTACAGAGAGTAGGGAAGCAACAGCCTGCCAGGCCAAGAATCCAGCTTTCCCCACCCCTGGAAGTTTTCTGCTAGAGCAGGGGTGATTTGTAAGTTTCATTGCCTCCTCCAGTAGGTTAGTAGAAGCTGCCTAGAGTGTGATGTTAAGAAAGATTCTGAAGCTGAATCTGGGCTCTGCAGTAAAACTTTATAATCGATTATTAATGTCTGCAGAGGGTCAGAGTGCTGAGTGATAGCACATATGCTACATATTTGCCATTTTTCTCCTCTACTAGTTCACAGAGTGTTTAAAGATAAATAATACTGTAACGAAAAGCTGAAAGCAAAAATCAAAGGCTAATAAAATTGAAAAAATCCCTGTCATCAGCCTAAGTTTGTACAATGTGCAAGCTCCCAAAGGGCAGAGCCCCCTGGTGGTCACTCACATGTATGGTGTGTCAAGTGGGCATACAAGACACAAGGCGTAGCCGCTGACCTGCAGGAGTCCCTATCCAATAAGAGAAAAAGACATGGGAACCAGTAAATTATAATACAAAACTTTGTACCAAACAAGCAGTTGGGACAGCAGCTGTGACCACAGATACATGTCTGCCCCTCTGGGTTTCTGCTAAATTACTTACTCAGTGAAGAGAGAACAGTTCCCCACTTTCGACCTAACTTTCATCTACAATCAATCCTTTGGACCCACTGTGTGCACAGCACCCTATCCTGCTGGGGGTGGGAAGTGTCATCTCCAAGCCAAGGAAAAGCATGTTGACAGTCCAAACCAGAGGGTTTTCACCTGGAGTCTGTGTCGCCTGGGGCTGAGTTTCCCAAACTACATCAATGATAAGACCCAGCTGGGAACCTGTTAAGAAAAATTCGAGACCCACAGGTGATCCTTAGCACCAGGGAAGCTTACGAAACTGGGGGGGTCAGTGGATGGGCTCTCCGGGCCTTGGAAACTCTTAGAATTCTACACAGACCTGAATGTTTGTCATTTTACCTGGGGTGCAGAGGAGGGTCCATAGCTTTAATTATGTTCTCCAAGAGGTCTGTGAACCAAAAAGACCACCAAGAGTCAGCACAGAGGAGAACATGCAAACATCCCTGATCCGGTGAAACCATCCACAGCCACCAGGCTAAGGCTGGGTTTTCTTGACCACAAGCCCCTGGTAAATGGTCACTGAATGAATGAATGAACAAACTCACATTTGCCTTGGCACTGGTGTGAACCTCCATACACACCTGTCCTGATAGGCAGGAGACAGCACGTGTGGGGGGAGGAGCAATGAGACACAGCCTATTTTCTGCCTGTTACTGGAAGGCTTCCTGGAGTAAGTAGCCCTCCTGCCCCAACATTCTCCCAGTGTTTTGTTTTGTCTTTAAACAAATTTCCCCTTTTTTTTTTTTAATATATTTTTTAGAGCAGGAGTCCCTGTGAGGCACAAATAGTTAAGTGCTCAACTACTAATGGAAAGGTTGGCAGTTCGAACCCACCTAGAGATGCCTCAGAAGAAAGGCCTGGCGATCTGCTTCTGAAAGCCCTTGAAAACCCTATGGAACTGTTCTACTCTGCACACATGAGGTCACTATGAGTCAGAATTGACAGCAACTAGTATTTTTAGAGCAGTTTTAGGTTTACAAAAAATTGTACAGGAAGTACAGTTTCCACATATTCCCTCTCCTTCCTGCACACAAACCAAACCATTGTCATCGAGTCAATTTTGACTCATAGCAACCCTGTAGGGCAGAGTCGAGCTGCCTCATAGGGTTTCTAGGGAGTGGCTGGTAGATTCGAACTGCCAACCTTTTGGTTAGCAGCCAAGTACTTAACCATTGCACCACCAGGGCTCCCCCTGCACACAGTGGCCCCTATTATTAACATCTTGAGTGAGTGTGGTACATTTGTTACAATTGACGAACCAATATGGATACATTATTATTAACTAAAGTCTATAGTTTAGATTAGGGTTCACTCTGCATTATACAGTCCTGCTGACCCTGACAAATGCATAATGTCATGTGTCCATCATGACAGAATCATACCCTGTGCCCCAGCTGTTCTCCCAGCAGCTTTAAACCAGTGGTAGTGGTTCAGAATGCCCCAGTGACCCAGAAGGGTCATATCCCAGGAGCTGTGCCCAACACCGTAGCCCTGACACAACCCCTAGAAGGGTCACTTCCTGAGGCTGAGTGTACTCCGTGGCCCTGACCGCTGTCTCCCACCTCTGCAGGGCGTGAAGGAGTTCAAGTGTGAGGTGTGTGGCCGGGAGTTCACCCTGCAGGCGAACATGAAGCGGCACATGCTGATCCATACCAGCGTCCGGCCCTACCAGTGCCACATCTGCTTCAAGACCTTCGTGCAGAAGCAGACCCTCAAGACCCACATGATTGTACACTCGCCCGTCAAGCCATTCAAATGCAAGGTACCAGGCGGTCAGGCCCTGGGACTAGGAACCTCCCCATGAGCGGCCAGGACTCAGCATAATGGCAGCAGCCATGGTACCCCTCAAGCTGGCCTGGCCAGTGGGAGCAAGGGGAGCCCTGGTTAGGTGAAACTTTCTTGGGCCTTGGGGGCTGGGAATGGGTAAGGTCAAGGTTTAAATCCTAGCAGCTGCCAAAGTTGTGCTTCCTGAAAGCTGGGGAGGGGGTGCCATCACGGTGCAGCTACGGCGAATGTGCCCAGGCCTTGGGCTCTGTGTAGTCAGATATCCGAGCCCCGGGTTTCTGATAACTCCGGCTCAAGAAGGGCAGGGCAGGCCCACAGAAACGGTGACAAGGAATGGCTTGTTTCTCTGCCTCTTGGGTCACATAGGAAAGGACAAAGCTAGTATTCTCCACAGCTAATGGGATTGCAGCTCAGCCATGGAAGTGGGAGTGGGCTGGGCATCCGGGGAGGGCGGGCTCCCTGAGGGCTGATGACACCTGGTCGGTGTGTTCCAGGTGTGTGGGAAGTCCTTCAACCGCATGTACAACCTGCTGGGCCACATGCACCTGCATGCGGGCAGCAAGCCCTTCAAGTGCCCCTACTGCTCTAGCAAGTTTAACCTCAAGGGCAACCTGAGCCGGCACATGAAGGTCAAGCATGGCGTCATGGACATCGGCCTGGACAGCCAAGGTGGGTGGGCCACACATGGCGGACAGGGCAGGAGCTGTCTTCTCATGGTGCACTCAGGAGCCTCCTGTCCAGCTGGGGAAGTGGGGAGGCTTGCCAAGGCTGAGGCACAGGTCTGGAGAAGGGGAACCCTGGAGGGCAATCATGCTGATAATGATGGGATATTTATGTATTCTTCAAAAGACTTAAGTGGGCTCACATAAACAACAATAATAAAAATAATAACTAATATTTATTGAGTGCTAACTGTGTGCCAGGCCTTTATTAACTCATGTGATCCTCACCATGAGGTTGGTTTTGTTGTTATCCCCATTTTACAGATGCAGAAACTAAAGGACAGAGAACTTAGGTAACTCATGCAAGATCACAACACACAGGAAGTAGTAGACACTTCATCTCTTTACCGTGAGATAGCATTTAAAATACGTGGATGGGAAAGAAAGTAACAAAAGGGAAAATGGTAGCTGGAAAGGTAAGGAGAGTCTGGTGAGGTCACAACCCCAAGTACACTGTGGGAGGTCCTGTGGATGTAGAGGTGAGCCCTGAGCTTCCCGGCAGCCAAGGCAAAGAGTGTAAAGCCATCAGTCACACTGTTCACAGTTCCTATCAAAGAGAATGTAACTCACACGTACTTAAGAGAGAGCCAGGCAGTCGTGCCATTAAGGTCTTAGAAATTTCCAGAAAGGACCCTACACCTGAGCAGTTGGTAGGTGAAGTCATGAGGCTGTTTGTTATAACATCCCTAAGTATTAGGGATAGCCTGTCCCCTCAGTACTGGTCAGTAGTAAAAGCACCTCTATCGGGCTCCAGCAGAGCTAACTGCTAGTCTCTCTGGCCTTATAGGGGGAGGAGGTACTTTAGAGAATCCGTAGGGAAAGGGGCGCTGACTGCATTTCAGGAAGGTTCCTTGTACAGTCTGGAGCCCTTTGATCTTCTGGTGCCCCTTCTGAGACAAACTAGCTGGGAACATGCCCTATAATCAAGTAAGTTGACATGACATATGGGATTATTCACCGGAAGCCAATCAGATGCTGGGAGACATCTGCAGTAACCCTGACTTTGCTTTTGGAGCAGCTGCCCAGTGAATGGCCTAGGTTTTCTAGCAGAAGTAGGTGTCCTCAGTTGTCTTTTTTTTTTCCCCCAGTTGTCTATTAACGATGATCCTGATCTGTGAGGATAAAACCCTGCTGGCTGCATATAAATGCTCCCTATAGCATCTTGCTACTCAAAATGTAGTGTGAGGACCAGCAACGTTGGCATCACCTGGGATCTTGCTAGAAATGCAGAATCTCAGCCCCACCCTAGACCTACTGAACCAGACTCTGCATTCATTCAAAAAAGATCCCTTGGTGATTTATGTGCACAGTGAAGTTTGGGAAGCATTGAATTGGAGCGGTGGTTCTCCAGCTTTAGCGTGCACCAGAATTACCTGGGGGACTTGTTTTAAAACAGACTGCTGGGCCCCAACCCCCTAGTTTCTGATACCGTAGGTCCAGAGTGGTGCCCGAGAATTTGCATTTCCGGCAAGTTTCCAGGTGATTTTGATGCTGCTGGCTCCGCAACCTCACTTTGAGAACTGTTGATCTAGACTGCAGGACTGGTTCTCAAACTTGGCTGCACATTAGCATCACCTGGGCATTTTAAAAATGCTGGTATCTGAGTCCCACTCCCAGAAATTCTAATGTAATTGATCTGGGGTATGGCCTGGGATCAGGATTTTTTTTTTAAACTCCTTAAAAAAAAAAAAAAAAAAGTTGCCGTCAATTCCAACTCATGGCGACCCGATGTGTGTCAGAGTAGAACTGTGTTCTGTAGGGTTTTCAGCAGCTGATTATTTGGAACTAGATCACCAGGCCTTTCTACCAAGGTCCCTCTGGGTGGACTCGAACCACCAATCTTTAGGATGGGGGCAAATGCTTAACCTTTGGCACCACCCAGGGACTCCTTAAGTTCCTTAGGTGATTCTAATGCAAAGCAGAGTTTGAGAGCCATCACTCCAATGGACCTGCCATGTATCTAACCTACCAGGAGGGACGAGTAGAACTTGTCCTTTTGGAAATCACAAGCCATCAGGGCATAAGCTCTTTCCGTATGGGGTCAATAAGCCCACATACCTTCATTAACCTACCTTGGGTTTTTATTTATTCTCAGAGAACGAGGCCCAAGGATACCACTGACTGGAACTGGTTTAAAGCCCCAATCCTAGCAGGAAGGCAGAGGAGAAATCTCTCCCTCTAGTGATTTCAGGCAGAACAGCCCAGTGGATCCATATGAGCACTTTCTCCCTGATGGTACCAGGTGATGGAAAGAGAGTAAGACAGATCGGCACTGGAACGGGTCTGGCTCACGCCTGCCTGCCTGCCTCTCACATGTAGCCTGGGTCTGAGAAGCTCAGGCTTGGTACAGACTATTTCCTGGGGTCAGCTGGATGGGACCAATAGAGGTAATCAAGATAAATAAATTGGGGGGAGACCAGATCCAGAGGTGGAAATTTTCCCTGGGTGCTTTCTATAACTTATTTTTATAATTGGCTGTATAATATGAGGGTGTGGCACTAGGATTTGAGGAGGAAGCCTGGGCTCTGTAAGGTTTGCAACAGCTGGCAATGCTTTGTAAAGCCAGGAAGACTCATGAAGGTGTCAGAAGGCTTTGGGCACAAGTAACAGACACCCCATTCATACTGGATTAAACAATAAGGAAATAGATTAAGAAATGACTTGACGTCCAGGCCATCATCACAGTTGGCTGACTCAGTCCTTCGGTGGCAGCAGGGCTAGACACTCTCTGCCTGTCCACAGCTTAGGCTGTGGTTTTTTCTTCATGGTCACGAGATGGCTGCCAGTGGCCAGCAGGGCAATGTGCTTCTTTGTTCCCATGCAGTTGGGGGGAGAGAGCCCACTCTCCTTTGCTCTCTGAAACTAGGCCTTTCCTCATGATTCATTGGCCAGAATTGGGTCACATACCTATTCCTGAACCACTCACTGGCGAGAGGTGGGATTCCCTTAGACCGGTACTTTTCAATGGGTGATTTTGCCCCACCCCCACCCCAGGGGACAATTAGCCATGTCTGGAGAGATTTTTTGTTGGCCCCAACTGGGAGTAGGGGTGCTGTCTAGTGGGTAGAGACCAGGGATGCTGCTAAATATGCTGCAATACACAGGACAGTCCTCAAAACAGAATCATCCAGCCCAGAATGTCAGTAGTGCTGAGGTTTTAAAACCTTGCCTTAGACTTATCAGGGGCAGCCCCCTGTGCTGCGGTCTGCTTCCTCCCAAAACACATCACATCTCCTCAGTGGATAGCAGCCGAATGCACGTTAGATCCTGGCTCCCAGGACTCCCAGATCAGGCTCTGGGCATCCCTCCCTCCTTAACTCATTGGAAGACAGCCCCAGGCCTCCTGTGTGGGGTTACTCATTCTGGTTTTTGTTACAACGCCCCCGCCCCCCCCAAAAAAAAACCCACTGCCATCAAGTTGATTCTGACTCATGGTGACCCCATGTGTTACAAAGTAAAACTGCCTCGTAAGGTTTTTTTGGCTGTAATCTTTGCAGAAGCAGGTCGCCAGACCAGTCTTCCATGGAGCCGCTGGGTGGGTTCGAACTGCAAACCTTTAGGTTGGTAGTCAAGCTCAAACTGTTTGAGCCACCCAGCAGTAAGAGCTTTACAGTAAGATTTCAATTTGATAAAGAGGGTTCTTAGAGTTTTTGCCTCATGTACAGGGACATGTATAATAGACAAGGTAAACACACTGCTTACCTTGCTTACCAGACTATCTGTAGTGAACAAGTTCACATTTTTTCACCACATCAAAGATTCTGCTTCTAGGAGTAGACAGCATCTGCCTCTCTCGCAACCCACAGCGCCTCCCTACAGAATCAAAGCCTCTTTTCAAATTTACAGTCCCTATCAGGGGCAGATGACCCAGTAAGCAAGGTACACATGGGCTTACTGGTGCTTACTTATTAATGTGTAGTGAACAGTTTCACTACAGATGATTTGGTAAGCAACGTAAGCACCATGCTTACCTTGCCCATTGGATAATCCACCTCTACCATGTTCCTTTGTTAACCTATCTTGGGTTTTTGTTTGTTCTCCGAGAGCGAGGCCCAAGGATACCACTGGGTGGAGCTGGTTTAAAGCCCCAATCCTGGCAGGAAGTTAGGAGAAACCTCTTCCTCAGGTGATTTGAGGCAGAGTAGCACAGTGATTAAAAGCAGCAGCTGTGGAAGCCAGAGACCTTGGTCCATATGCGAGAGAGACAGATGCCAGCTACTCCTAGAAGCGGAATCTTTGCTGGGCGACCTTTGGCAAGTTGATTAACCTCTGTGAACCTCAGCCTTTTGATCTGCTAAATGAGGTTGCTGTGAGACCCGAGATGATGCATGTAGTGCCTGGCGTGCAACAGGTGCTAAAGGAGTAGTGAGAGAGGTAGCATGGTGCCGCAGGCTCTCCCAGGCAAGGGTGCCTGATGAGTAACTGCAGAGAATGAATAACTAGAGCTTAGTGACTTAGGGGCATTTCCTGGGTGGCACCAACGGTTAAGCACTCAACTACTCGCCAAAAGGTGGCTGTTCGAACCCACTCAGAGATGCCTGGGAAGACAGGGCTGGCAATCTGCTTCAGAAAGTTTACAGCCTTGAAAACCCTATGGAGCAGTTCTACTCTGCACACGTGGGGTCACCATGAGGTGGAATCGACTCAACGGCAGCTAACAACAACAGTGACTTGGTGGGGGCAGTGGTGCTTCAGTGGTAGAATTCTCACCTTCCGTGCTGGAGACCTGGGTTCAATTCCCAGCTAGTGTACTTCATGCAGTTACCATTCATCTGTCAGTGGAGGCTTGTGTGTTGCTATGATGTTGAACAAGTTTCAGGGGTGCTTTCAGACTAAGATGGACTAGGAAGAAAGGCCTGGCGATCTACTTTCAAACATCAGCCAACGAAACTAATGGATCACAACGGTCCCATCCACAACTGATCATGGGGATGGTGCAGGGCCAGGCAGCATTTAATCTGTTGTGCACGGGGTTGCCATGAGTCAGGGGCTGCTAACAGCAGCTAACAAGTGACTTAGGAGGGCAAAGGCATAACCCAAAGAGGACTTTAAGGCCAGGCTTGCTGGGCTCCACTGTAATGCCCCCCACCCACATACACACAGCTTTAGGGTTGGCCTCCAGCGACTCATCTGAGATGGGGCCTCCCCAGTTGGGAAACCTGAAAGGCTGCCGAGAATCCTCTGGAAGCCATGACTGGGAAGTCTTTTCTTCAGAAACATCACCAGCTTCCTGAGCAGGGGTGACCGGCTCCCCCAGTTTTGAGGTGTCCAAGCCTAATTGTAGCCCCTCTCTTCACAGACCCCATGATGGAGCTGACGGGTACTGACCCTTCAGAGCTTGACGGCCAGCAGGAGATGGAGGACTTCGAGGAGAACACCTATGCCTACACAGGCGTGGATAGCAGCACCGAGGCCAGTGTCCTCAGCGAACAGGCCATGAAAGAGATGGCCTACTACAACGTGCTATAGCGCGAGCCCCGCCGCCCCTCTCGGGAGAGGAGGGCATGGGTGTGGGGGTGAGACCCAAGTGCTGCAGGCCACACCTCCTGCAGCTGAGAAACAAGCTACTGCCCCACAGCCCTGCGCCCTCCCCTCCCACCGAGTCTTTTGTACCACTAGGGACTTTGAGACCAATGGAGACTGTACTACTGGCCTCAGCTGTGAACCAGGCACAGGCCCCAGGCATTCCCGTGAAGGAACAGTGGATAACACAAGAGGCCCAGGGCTGGGTCTCCTTGGCCTGCTGCTGAGGGGGGTGGGGGGGTGAGGGAGTGGGGGGATGCCGATGGGGCCACCTTGGGACAGGGTCACAAGGACACAGACTCGTGGGATCTCCCCTCTCAGGCCCAGCAGCCAGTGATGGTTCTTTGGGGGTCCCGGGCCCCCAGACACTGGAGGAAGAGATCGCTTGAGCCATGCCTTGTTCCTGCCTCTAGGGATGTTTGGCCTCCTGTGCTGGCCAGCACTGACCCCCACACACGCCCCCTTCAGCCCCTGTGCTATGAAAGGCCCAGGCCTGAGAGCCCCTTCCCCACCCTGACGATGCCAGCCAGGCAGGGCACTCTGCCTTCTACCTCCAGTGCCCCCGCGCTCTCCTCAGCCAGGTGTGCATGCGGCCTAGCCCTGGCCTGCAGGAAAGTGGGGTGTGGCCCAGCCCCCAGACAACACCCTCTCCAGCCAGCCCCCAGAAGCCCTGTTTGGAAGTCCTTCTCCACACAGTGTCCCTAAAGTAGATTTCAGCAAATGTCACCCAGGTCTCAGTGCTGAGCTAGGGCACCACACCAGGGCCACCAAGGTGAAGACACATGGAGGCCCCTCAAGTGAGGGGCAGGGCAAGAGAGGGGCTGTCCTAGGGGGGAGGCCAAGGACCACCTGTAGGGGGAGGGGGGCTGAAGTATTTTCTTATTAACAAGTATCCATTTTGAGGATGGAGACAGGCAAGAGTCAGCAGTCTCCTAGAAGACATATAAAAAAAAAAATTTTTTTTTGAGCAAATGGGGGTATTTTTAAGTTAATTTATTTTTTTTCTTTCCAACTATGTGTTGCCTACTATCATTTTTGATGGAGATGCATTTTCTCTTCCCAAACATAATCTTGTGTGCTGTGCGTGCTTTGTGCCTCCCCCACCTAGAGCAGCCTGGCCGG